GGCAATCTACTTCTGTAGTGATACTGCCTCAGAAACCCAAGGAGGGGTCGCTATGAGTCGGGTCTGACTCGATGGCACATAACAACAACAACAATTTTATTTTTAAATTTATTTGAATTTGAAGCATGTAACTAACACCATATTTAGAAAGTCACAGAAAATCACTAACTAGCTGTGTGTTCTTATAAAAGTTACTTAAATCTTTACTGAGGGTTTAAGTGAGAAAGTTGGTCTAAATGTTTTCAAACCCCATCTAGCTCTGAAATCTTTTAATTTTAAACTAATACTAGAGAAGCAAAAATAACATCTCAGCTACAAAAGGAATGGGACACTGAATTCTTGAGTATAGTTATTTTGAAATTATTGTAATAGAGTTTGATGAAAGAGGAAAACAACAAATACTTTAATATTGAAATGATAAGTCAAAAATATATCATCTATTCTTTGAGTGCTTAATTGTTATAGATATATTTAAATCCTTTTCACCATTATTTAAATTGTGATCTTTTTTTATATTGTAGTCTGAAGATAAGGCCAAATATGATGCAATTTTTGATAGTTTAAGCCCAGTGAATGGATTTCTATCTGGTGATAAAGTGAAACCAGTGTTGCTCAACTCTAAGTTACCTGTGGATATCCTTGGAAGAGTAAGATATTATTAAATTTTAAATGTAATTTTTTATGTATTCTAATTTTGTATCTGCTAGGAACATTTATAGATCTTTGTTTTAAAAAAAAAAATACATGAATCTTGTACAGAGAGATAGCCCAGAAGGCAGGAATGTATAGGAAAGAAGTGCATAGGGAAAAGGTAACTTCAGGGAAGAAGTGGGAAGAGAGCTGTTACCTTATGGGGATTTCAGTCAATGTCATGAAACAAAATGTGTATGAACTATTGCATGGAAAATGAATTTGCTCTGTAAACTTTCATCCAAATCACAATTAAAAAAAAAAACCCACAAATCTTATTTTGAAATTGTATTATTACAGAATTCTGTGTTCTGATTTAATATATAAAATTATTTCCATTTTATTCCTGTGTGCTTATATTGTTTCTAAAGTATGTGTATTTAAAATTAGCTATATACAAACCAAAAGCCCACTGGCGTAGAGTTGATTATTACTCCTGGCGGTCCTATTAGGACAGAGTAAAACTGCCCTATAGTGTTTCCAAGGCTGTAAATCTTTACAGAAGACTGTCATATCTTTCTATCGCAGAGCTGCTGGTGGGTTCAAACAGCTAACATTTTGGTTAGCAGCTAAGTGCTTTAAGCACTGTGCCACCAAGACTCCTTCTAACTGTGTGTTTAAGCCCCTAAATTAGATCCTTATTCCTCTGTACTATACATCTAGTCCTCTGACCTCTCAATTTCTTGCCTCCTTTAATTTCTGGAGACCACTAGTATTTTACATATGACCCTTACTCCCATGGCTATATCATGAACCTTGTCATCAGAATAGTTTCATCTCTGAAATCATAAATTCTTCTCTAGAACTTTCTGTTTTCCTCCATCTCTTTCCTTGATACTTAAACCAAAACCGAACCGAACCTGTGGCCATTGCATTGATGCCAACTCATAGCAACCCCCATTGGGTTTCCGAGGCAATAAATCTTTATAGAAGTAGATTGCCTCATCTTCCTTCCATGGAGTGGCTGGTGGGTTTGAACCGCCAACCTTCTGGTTAGCAGTCAAATGCCTTAGGCACTGCACCACCAGAGCTCCTTTCATAGATACGTGTAAGACTTTAATTCTTTGGCTGCATCAATACTTGTGTCTCTTTTACTTTTCCCCTTTCTTTTGAATTTTCTTTCTTCCTCATCCAACTTGGATTTTTTGGTCCACAGTTTCACATCTATATCCTTATTCTCTGTGCCATATTATATTTCCATCTCTCCTACCTGGTAAAATTCTAAGTTTGTATAAAGCTAATTATCTGCATTCTCTGTGTTTTCAAAAGAACTCTGGTGGTGCAGTGCCTAAGATGTTTGATTGCTAACCAGAAGGTTGGTGGTTCAAACCCACCAGCTGCTCCATGGAAGAAAATGGGGCAATCTACTTCTGTAAGGATTTACCACCTCAGAAATCCAATGGGAGTCACTATGAGTCATAATCAACTCGATGGCAATGAGTTTGGTTTTGTTTTTTTCTGTGGTTGCATATAGATTGCTGAGAAACTCTAAGTAAAGATTGATGTCATCATAAACTCATGGTCCCCACCCTCAACTGGAGGCTCTCTACTGCTAGCCACTACTGTGCTGTTTGCATAGTGATAGCTATCTACCCCTCCTTATACATCATATCTTAACTACTTTCTTTAAAGACTCCAACCCTTTCTTAACTCCTCTGCTTAGTCAGACTACATGGGGTCAAGTCTTGGCTGTACCACTTTTTAGCTATGTGACCTTGGGAAAATCATTAGAAAACTGTGTGTCAGTTTTCTAATTTTTAAAATGGGCATAATAATTCTTGATTTATAGGATTGTAAGGATTAAATGTGATAACGTTTGTAGAGTACATACCGCAGCACTTGGTATGTACTCTGAATACTGGCTGCCATGATGATGATGATGATGCCAGTGATGATAACAACCACCACCATCATCACCAACCACCAGTACTATGAATACTGGATTAGTGCTGTTGTATAGAATAGGTGCTCAAAGAATACTGACTGAAAACCCACTTTCTAATATTGCTACCCACTAATAATAATTTCTCTGCTATGAAGATTTCTAAAAGATAAATAGGATTCTGTCATTTTTTGAATAAAATTAGCCCTTTAGTTGTTTCCCATCACACTTAGGTTAAAGCCCAAATTCTTTTCAAGTCACCTAATGCGCAGGCACTTTGTTTTCTCCAATCTATCTCTAACCTGCTACTCTCTCCCTGTACCAAGTAAAATTTTATTAGTGATTTAAATATCATCTTTTCAAGAACGTAAAATAGTTTTTATATCTGCTCTGTGGAATCAACTCTGGATTTAGACCAAGACTACCAGGGCCTTTCAGGTTTCATTTTTTCTTTGTAAGCCCTCAGCATTGGACAATAAATGATTAATAGCACAATACTTGTTTTAACTGATTAGACCTTCTGTAGTATAAGGAAAATAATGATGGACTCAAAGACTGATTCTGTTACTTAATAATAGTTTCATGATCCTGGATAAGTTCTGTAGTCTCATACTTAAAAGAGAGTCACAGTACCCCATGGGATTTTTGTGTAAATTGAGTTGTTTGTGAAAGAAGATTATAATTTTTAAGTATTTTATAAATAGTTGTTTTCTTACTTGAGAGGAATATAGTGCTATTTTCTTTAAATTTTTCAGAAGGAATTTCTATTTAAAAATAATTGATATTAAGAATTAATAGTTCTTTTTACAAAAATGTTAATATAACATACAATAGTAATGATCAGTATAATTGAAATTTCTCAGAGAAATAGAAATTATGGTGTTTATGTTATATTTTTCCTCCCCCCCTTATATGCATATGGTGTTTACAAGTAGCACATTAAATGAAAGTACATTAATTTTTCTCAATTCTTCCTTTTTTTAGGTTTGGGAGTTGAGTGATATTGACCATGATGGGATGCTTGACAGAGATGAGTTTGCAGTTGTAAGTAATGTAATCAGTGCTCTTACGGTCTTAACACATCATGATAGTCTCGCAAGTAAAAATTTCCTATTGTTGGTTCATCCTTAGAAGAGAACTATATTTGCAAAAGATTTTTGGTATGAATGTTATAGCTTACATTTATAAGCAGTCAGTAAATAACATTTTAAATAAATAGACTAAAAAAGAAAAAAAAGCTTATGTTTTCTCTGTCTTCGTTTTGTTTGACTCTAAGGTACATAGGAGTATGTTGTTGTTAGGTACCCTTAAGTCGGTTCTGACTCACAGTGACCTTATGTACAACAGAACGAAACACTGCCTGGTCCTGTGCCAGTTTCACAGTCCTTGCTATACTTGAGCCCATTGTTGTGGCCATTGTGTCAGCTATCTTGTTGAGGATCTTTCCCTTTTTTGCTGACCCTGTACTTTACCAAGCATGATGTTCTACTCCAGGGACTGGTCCCTTTTGACAGCATGACCAAAGTAGGTGAGACAAAGTCTGGCCATTCTAACTTCTAAGGAGCATTCTAGCTGTACTTCTTCCAAGACAGATTTGTTCCTTCTTCTGGCAGTCCATGGTATTTTCAGTATCCTTTGCCAGCACCGTAATTCATGTGCATCAGTTTTCCTTCATTCTTCCATATTGTCCAGCTTTCATGTGCATAACCAAAACCAAACTCACTGCCATGGAGTTGGATCTGACTCATAGCGACCCCTCCTTGGGTTTCTGAAGTGGTATCATTGCGGAAGTAGATTGCCCAACCTTCCTTCCAACTAGTAGCTGGTAGGTTTGAACCACCAGCCTTCTGGTTAGCAGTCAAACACCTCAGGCACTACACCACCAGAGCTCCCTTCATGTGCATATGACACTATTAAAAATACCATAGCCTGAGTTAGGCACACCTTAGTCTTCAAAGTCATATTTTTGCTCTTTGACACTTTGAAAATGAAGGCGCCTTGTAGCAGATTGGCCCGGTGCAAAACAATGTCTGATATATTGACTGCTGCTTCCTTGGGTATTGATTGTGTATCCAGGTAAAATGAAATCTTTTACAACTTCAGTCTTTTCTCCATCTATCATGATACTGCGTATTAGTCCTATTGTAAGGATTTTTGTTTTCTTTATGTTGAGGTGTAATTCATACTGAAGACTATAATCTTTGATATTCATCAGCAAGTGCTTCATGCCATCTTCACTTTCAGCAAGTAAGGTTTTGTCTTCTGCATATTGCAAGTTGTTAATGAGTCTCCAATCCTGATACTATGTTGTTGTTCTTACAGTTCAGCTTTTCAGGTTATTTGCTTAGTATACAGATTGAATAAGTATGTGGAAAGAATACAACCCTGATGCACACCCTTGCTGCTTTTAAACCATGCAGTATCCCCTTGTTCTGTTTGAATGATAGTGTCTTTGTCTATATACAGGTTTCTCATGAGATCAATTAAATGTTCTGGAATTCTGTTCTTCACAATGTTATCCATAATTTGTTATAATCCACACAGTCAAATGTGTTTGCATAGTCAATAAAACAACAGCTAAACATCTTTCTGATATTCTTTGCTTTCAGCCAAGATCCATGTCCATCTGACATCAGCAGTGATACCTCGTGTTCCATGTCCTCTTCTGAATCTGGCTTAAATTTCTGGCAGTTCCTTATCAGTATATCGCTGTAACTGTTTTTGAATTATCTTTGGCAAAATTTTACTTGCATGGGATATTAATGATAATGTTCCATGGTTTCTGTATTCTGTTGGATCACCTTTCTTTCTTTCTTCTTTTTTATGGCTTACTTAATTCAGTTTATTTTTCCTGTACAAAAACCACTATGTGGTGGCCATAGTTGGATCCTGGGTCCTCTGCACGGAGACTGTGGTGTGGGTCTTTATGAGATGGTCAATGAACTCCTGGTAGGGAGACTTGGTGAACACGCTCTTCTTCCAGAGATTGGTGGTAAGGTAGCTGTAGGTCTTAGAGATGGCATTAAGGTGGCCTTGGCAAAGTTGCCCAGGGTGGCCCCCTGGCTGAGGTGTAGCAGTTATTGTTACCAGCCAGCAGCAGCAGCTACTTAGGCATGGGGGGAGACTGTGTCAGTGCCTCTGGGTGCAGAGATACTGGGCACCAGCATAAAGCTTCAACAGCCAGTCATCTTGCCGGGTATAGTGTGAGGCTTGCCGATCTTCTTCGCCCGGTAGCCTCTTAGCACTGGGACAATGGAGTGCTTGGCCAGGATAATGGCTTCACAGATGACAGTGGGCACCTCTCAGAGCACTTAATGCCCAGCCTGACATGGCCATTGTAGTCCCCGATGGTGACGAATGCCTTGAACCTGGTCCACTGGCTGATGTGCGTGTGCTTTGGCATGAACATGATTTTTAAACCTTTGTCCTTATGGGACATCTCCAGGAAGTCAATAATCTCAAACTCCTTGATAGACAAGGAGAAAAGATAGATCTCCTCCAAGGACTTGATCATCATGTCCTTGACCAGATGGCTCAGCTTGGTGATGGGGAGCCACTCCTTGTCTTTGGCTTTGCCTCCATAAGCTCTGCAGCACTGGCCATAGCCCAAACCATGGCCCTGACCCGGGCCCCATAAGCCACTATTGAAACCTCCGCGGAAGCTGCCTCAGGCCTCTGGGGCCTCCAGGCCATCCCGCTGCACTGGTGTGATACGCCATTTGGTTTTTTCTCATAGACGAAGCTGGACTGCCTTTCTTTGGAATGGGCACAAGTAGGGATCTCTTCCAGTCGGTTGGCCCGGTAGCTGTCTTCCAGATTTCTTGGAATAAATGAGTTAATGCCTCTGGTGATACATCCATTTATTGAAACATCTCAATGGGTATTTCATCAGTTGCTGGAGTCTGTTTTTAGCCAGTTCCTTCAGTGCAGCTTGGACTTCCTTCAGTGCCATTGGTTATTGATCATATGTGACCTCCTGAAGTGGTTGAATATTGACCAGTTCTTTTTGTTACAGTGACTCTGTGTATTCCTTCTATCTTCTTTTGATGCTCCTGCATGGTTCAGTAATTTCCCATAGCATCCTTCAGTACTGCAGCTGGAGGCTTCAATTTTTCTTCAGTTGTTTCAGCTTGAGAAATGCTAAATGTGTTCTTCCCTTCTAATTCCAAGTCTTTGCACATTTCATCGTGATAATTTACTTTGTCCTCTTGAGCCACCCTTTGAAGTCTTCTGTTTGCCTCTTTTATTTCATCATTTCTTCCACTCACTTTAGGTACTTTCCACTCAAGAGCAAGTTGCAGAATCTCCTTTGACATCCATTTTGGTGTTTTCTTTCTTTCCTGTCTTTTCAAAACCTTTTGCTTTCTCCATGTATGATGTTTTTGATGTCATATCACAACTCATCTGGTCTTTGATCATTGATATCATTGATGTTCAGTGCATCAATTCTTATCTTCAGATGTTTTGTAAATTCAGGTGGGATATAATCAAGGTCATATTTTGGCTCTCGTGGATTTGTTTTAATTTTCAGTTTCACATTGAACTTGCATATGAGCAATTGATGGTCTGTTCCACAGTCAGCTCCTGACCTTGCTCTGACTGATGATACTGAGCTTCTCCATTACCTCTTTTCACAGATGTGGTTGATTTGTTGGTGAGTCAGCTGACTTACCAGTTTGTCATACTGTGGTAGTTTGCATGTTGTTTTGATGCTCCAAGTTGTGCTGCTGGTATTTCAAATACCAACAGGGTCACCTATGAGGGCAGGTTTCAGCAGAGCTTCCGCACTGAGACACACTAAGAAGAAGGATTTGGTAGTCCAATTCTGAAAAAATTGACCACTGAAAACCTTATGAATAGCAGTGAAACTGTTTGATAAGTGCCAGAAGATGAGCCTGTCAAGTTGGAAGACACTCAATATATGACTGAGGAAGAGCTGCCTCCTTAAAACAGAGGTAACCTTAATGATGTAGATGGAGGAAGGGTTTTGGAACCTTTGTTTGCTGATGTGGCATGCCTGAAAATGAGAAGAAACAGCTGTGAACATTCATTAATAACCAGAACATAGAATGTACAAAGTACGAATATAGGATAATTGGAAGTTGTCAAAAATAAAATGGAACACAAACAGATAGATACCCTAAGCATTAGTGAGCTGAAAAGGACTGCTATTGGCCATTTTGAACTGGACAATCATATGGTCTGCTATACCAGGAATGACTCACTGAAGAGGAATGGTGTCACATTCATTGTCAAAAAGAACATGTTAAGATCTGTCCTGAAGTACAGTGCTGTCAGTGACAGGGTAATATCCATATGTCTATAAGGAAGACCAGTTAATGCTACTGTTATTCAAATTACGCACCAACCACTAAAGCCAAAGGTGAAGATGCTGAAGATTTTTACCAACTCCTGCAGTCTGAAATTGACCAGACAGGCAATCAGAATATATTGGTAAATTACTGATGATTGGAATTTGAAAGTTGGAAACAAAGATGCATCATTTGTTGTTGTTATGTACCGTCAAGTCGGACTAACTCATAGTGACTCCTCCTTGGGTTTCCAAGGTGGTATCACTACGGAAGTAGATTGTCCAGCCTTCCTTCTGAGGAGTGCCTGGTGGATGCATCATTGGTAGTTGGAAAATATGGCCTTGTTTGTAGAAATGACGCTGAAGATCGCATGATAGAATTTTGAACAATCAGTGACTTACTCATTGAAAATACCATTTTTCAACAATATAAGTGGCCAGGTAGAATACACATAGGAATATGTTGTTGTTATTGTTGTTATGTGCTATCGAGTCGGACCTGACTCATAGAGACCCCTCCTTGGGTTTCCGAGGCAGTATCTCTATGGAAGTAGATTGTTCATCTTCCTTCCGAGGAGTGGCTGGTGGGTTTGAACCGCCAGCCTTCTGGTTAGCAGTCAAGTGCCTTAGGCTTTGAATAATGCTCTGTAAAGATGCTGAGTGCTCTTGTCTTTTGTATTCCAAATTGACCAGACATCTCAGGACCTGACGCTGGTATGGCATAATTTTGCTTCATGTATACCCCAACTTTTTCACATTTATTTCATTAAAAGAAAAAAATGAATAATACTTTAGTTTCACTTTATTTATGAAGGCAGAG